TCAGCCTTAACCAAGGGACAATTGCAAATCCTGGCTCGGGATGACAGCAAGCATCGAAGCAGGACAGAGTGGCACCAGGCCGCTCTGTTGGAGCCAACCCCAAGCGGATTGCCTTCCTGGGAGGTGCTGAGCCCCCCCCATTTCCACTGCAGCCAGCAAAAGCTCAGGGGGTGCTGAGCAGCCTCCGTGCAGCGCTCAGCGCTGGAACGCAGCCTCGACTGCTACTGTCAGTCCCGCTCACCAACATGGAAGCCACAGAGCTGTCTTGTCTCCTGGTTTAATCGTTGTATGTACAGAGCTGGGCTGTTATTTACATCCAAGTACACTTGTCTCCGTATAACGTAGCAGCATAAGAACAACAATTCGGTTCCTATCTTGAGTGCAGAAAGCCGGAGGTGATCTTCCTCCGGCATGATGCCAGCGACAGCAGGACTGGTGCAGCCGGCTGCCACGAGACAGCGGCAGAAGCTGAGTGGGACTGTGTGAAGCATAACAAGGTGCGATGGTTCTGAGGTTCGCACCCGAGGCGAGACAGGAGTGCTGGCAGTGCGAGGGAACTCACCCAGCCAGGTCGGCATCTTCCCGCGACAGCGACCAACCTTGGAATGATGGTGGAGCAAAGCAACCCCACTCGCAGCAAGTGGTGAGAGGAGCTGCTTAGACCTTCCCTGGCACCAGGATAGCCTGCTTGGGCCAAATCCTCATGGATGGAAATTGCTGGAGCAGATCAGTGTCCTCTGTTTGCTCATCTAATGACCATATGGACATGCCTGGAGCATGACGCGGTTGCCCGCACACGGGTGATGTGCCACTAGAGATGCTCCAAGTCTTCCCACCACTGGCCTGGTTCTCCCATAGGTCTTGGATCATACTGGCCAGCCCCAGAGCATCTCTAATATCCCTGGACCCCACGTGTGGGCAACTGACCTGAGACCCTTGTCACCACCGCTTTTGCTGTTGGCCAATGGCAAGTTAGAGGTGACTTCTTGTTTCAGTGGAGACACTAACTGTGTGCAAGAATTATATGTGAGCCAGTATGTCACACTGAATCCCATCAGCTCCAGAGGCGGCTGGGCAAAAGTGGAGGAGACAGCTGGGTTATGGTCAAGCCCAAACCCTGAGATGAGTTTCATGGCACAGAAACATCTTATTGGCTCTGGCTGAGCCTCAAAGAGATGAGATGTCAACCTCCTTGGCCATTCCCATGATATGTAATCAAAACACCAGTCTGGCATCCCTTGGCTATCTTGCTCCAAGGCTAAGACCCCAGGGCCTCAACACAGACCAAGCTTGTGACGGGAGACTTCATCTAGTCAGGGGGTAAAAGTGTTAAGGTCTGGAAGGAGCTAGGTGAGCAGCTCCCACCTGGGCCGTATCTGAGCACGAACAACAGGAACCCAGGCATCCCACCATCATTTGCTCCATCTCTGCTGAGCAAAGGGTAGTCACCTCTGAGAGAGAGTGGTTGCCAACATGTTGGCCACACAGTGCTAGCTCATGGGAGAGGACGTGATGGGAAGCAGTGCATCCAGTTGTGGGGAAGAATCCTTTGTGGCAGTTTGGCTGAGGCGCTTGCCAAAACCATCTGTGTTTTACGTCACTGTAGCGTAGGAGGGTGATTTGTGCACGACAGCTGAGTGCTTGGGACGAATCTCAAGAGAGGGAAAACCACCATCAGCATCACAGCATCTTGATGGGTGTCTGCAAGGCTCTCTGTCATGTAGGGAAAGGCCACAATTGAAGTTGCTCAAATCTGTATTGAAACTTTAGATCAAAGTGATGCAGTGAAGAAGAAAGTGAAGAGAGTCTACCTTTCCTCCTCCAAGGTGAAAAATATCTCCCTGCTGCTCCTGCTCCATCCCAAGGAACTCTGCAGTCCCCGATGGATGCACTGTGAGGCCATTGAGTCCTTGGGCAGTCCAGCACACTCCAGCAGTCAGACAAACCCATATGTCTCCGGGTTTCGCTGGGTCCACCAAGACACATTCCTGGCACCACTGCAAAAAAGATCGAGGAAAAAGACGACGGAGCAAACCTGGCACACTGGGGGGCTTGGCTGATTGCTGCTGACTGGATCCAGGTACGTGGGGAGGCCAGGCAAGCTCCTGCTTCTCTTGCCCATGGATTAGCAAAGAGCTCTGGTGAGAAGGTGTCCCACAGGGTAATGCCAGTGTCCATTCCTCTGGAGTGTTAACGCAGTGAGGAATTGCAGTGTGCACCTCACCTACAGCAGATCCTTGAAACTCAAGCACTCTGCGTGTTCTTGAGCCACCGACTGAATCACTGTTTTCTGTGATGGTTAGAGGGAAACCGGCCTCACATCAGTGCAGCCAGGAGGAGCAAAGGTGGAAATGACCCTTCAGGTTATTGGACCCATCTTGTGGTGATGGCACTTGCTGTTGGGTTTGGTTTTCATGTGGTGGCCTCAAAAACACAATACGACCATCTGAGACTAAGTCTCCTGCAATTTCTCTATGCTTTATGCTTTTGCCCAAGGACTGCAAAGCCCTTCCCAAAGATGCCCCGCAACTGCTTTGGGAAGGAAGACAGGGTGGATTTGTCTGATGTAGAAAGAGATGCACAGAAAGCCGAGATGACACAAGACGTCAAATCTCCAGCCTTGTCATTGTGGGACGTTTGACTCCATCTCAAAGGTCCAGTGTATGAAATGGAGGAAGCTCTAGGATTTGTCTGACCAAGTGTAAGTTTGTGCAGCACATGTGGGTATCTTCCTTGGCATGGCAAAGTCTGCTGCTGGGTGACACCGGCCGGCGCTCCTTCCTTGGTGGGGTGTGTGGGCTGATGTCCAAGAGCACTGGAATGTCTGCAGGATTCATAGTGGAATTCATCTCCACACCCTTCAGGGGTCAGACCTGACCTAGTCCCCTCTCTGTGGCTGGTCCTGGGAGAGGGACTTAGCCTGAGCTACCCTGGTGTTTTCCAGGCTGATGGGTTGTGTCTTCTTCCAGCTCCCAAGGCACAGGCAGAAGTGATAGGAACAGCCAGGTGCCCTCAGCTAGGGTCTTGAAATGCTCTGGTCTCATCACACATCTCCATTTTCTATGGCTCCAGGGATCGCTGCCAGACACCAACAGTTCCTGCCCAGTAATACTGTCTGTTGTCCTTGGCTGGAGGTTGGTGGGACTAACTGAAGTTTCCTCTCTCCAGCTCAGCCTCTTTGGTCAGTCTGGAGCTCACCACAACAATGTTTGATCCCAACTTGGAAGGTCAGACCTCGTGATGGAGAGAAGGGAGCTTTTGAGGAAGTGAACATGGAAAGTGAGTAGCTTCAGAGCTCCAGCCCCTCAACACCCTGAGGTTCTTCCTTGCTATGCAGATGAAACGTGATCTGGCCAAACTCTCCCTGGAGTCACCTCGCAGACATTCCAAAATGTCCCAGTGCTAATTCTAGCTTTGTTCTTCTAGCTGCTCCCTAGGACAAAGAGCCGAAATTCCCACTTGCGTTGATCCTTTGGCCAATGCCCAGTCAGTGCAAACTCCACTTTGCAGCAGTTTTTACTCTTTGCTGTGGATCATGGTAAAAAAACATCCGTGAAAGGAAGAGCCAAACCCACTTTGCCCACCTTTTAAAGCTGAATGCTGGTTTTTGATGCCTGCACCATCCTCGGTGACCGTGCATATAGGATTTGGTTATTACTCTGCCAGGGCATAAGCACTTGCGTGATCTTAAGCATTTTCTCTTCTTATGACTGATTTCATGCTCAGAGTTAGTAGCTGAATATTTTCTTAAGCTAGGCTTGTGTTATCTCTGTCCCTGGAATACGTGATGCCACGAAGGATGGCTGTGGGTGCTGTTTGAAGCGGCCGTACTGGAGGCTGACGCTCACCCTGGTGCAATCTCGCGGTAACGCTGATATGTGCTCACTGCAGCTCCTGAGCGAGGCTCGGGTGCCGGTTGTGTAAGCAGACCCTGGGCCGAGAGAGCGCACCGAAGCATCACTCGTTTGGCAACGGGGCAGCACAACTGCCCACCGTTGGGGCAAACTGCTAAAGCTTCAGTTTGCCTAAACATCCCACGGGTTTGGAGGCTTCCCCAAACCTTGATTCCACTGACTTTGGGAAGTAAGAGGGCTCTTGGGAAGGGAAACTAGCTTGGATTTCCAGGTTTTTTTTCCTTGCTGTAGCCAGCTTGACTATATATGGTAAGAACAGAGGGACCGAGGTGGAGGTGGGAGGGTATTTCTGCTCCCAGGGTTGCTCACAACCCAGGAGAGAAGTGGAACTGCAGAAGGAAACCACAATGAAATGATAACGCAGCATATGTCAAGCTCTGCTGGGCCTCCAAAGAGGCTCCTGCTGGGCAATCATTCCTTGTTGGCTTATGTTACCAGGACAGCCTCATCCTGCTCCTCAAGGATGTCCTAACCTCTTGCAACCATGGGCTGGCAAGAGGGAGTCGTCTGGTAGAGATATGTCTGGTTTCACGGAAATCAGTGGCCAACCTCCCACTGACTTCACTAAGACCACCGTCTAGACAGGATACTTGATGCAGAACAGTGAGTTTGCTCATGATCCCGAGAGCTTTGCTCCATTAGCCAATGTGGCTAAAAATGCTCCGAAAAAAACCCCAAACCTGCCACTTTGAACTGTTTTGCTGCACGTAAATGCTCGGAAAACCAAAGAAACCAAATACGATCCTCCAAAACAACCAACCAAAGGCGAGTGAATTGGAGGAGAGGGGGTGGCAGCCTCTAGCGAAGTAACAGTCACGGCAGATTACGAAAGAGCCAATTGACCCTCACCAGCTGTACTAGGAAAAAAATCAAGAGAGATGTCGCATTATCGATAGAAAAACAACGCACATCCACAGTTATTTTACCTACAGAGCACAGAAGTGTAGAGTAAGGGTGGTGGAGCTTGGTGCAAGCAGACTTGCACCGCTCCTACAGTAGCGTATTATCCTTCGGAAGATCACTGGCTTGAGTAGGTAGTACATGCACAGCAATTAGAAAATCATGTTGTATTGTCTTGGTCCCACCTTAGATCTCGGTGGACTCTATTCGCTCGAGTCTGGAGGGAGTCCATGGTTTTTTCTCCTCGGTGTGCGGAGGGCTGGTGGCCTTCGTGTTCATCTCATTCACCTTGTGCTCCAGGAGCTGGTTCTTCTGGTACATCTCCACGTAGTTCAGTTGCAGCTGCTTCTGGTACTTGATGACTTTCTCCTTCTCTTCTTGCCACGTACGCCGCTCCTCCTCAAAGTCCATCACCTGCTGCTCCCGCTGCTGCCGCTCCAGCTTCAGCTCCGTCTGGAGCCGCTCCACCTCCTTCCGCAGCGTGTTGACATTGTCCTCGCTCTGCCGCTGCATCTTGGCTTCGTCGCTCTCGCAGGCCAGCGGGTCTCGCAGCTTCTCACCAAGGTCCCCACCGAAAGGCCCCCCAGGTCCCATGCTGGCAAGTGTCCGCTTCAGGCCAGAGACCTCCAGCTCACAGTGGTTCAGTTTTTCCCTCAGCACCTGGACCTCGCTCATCTTCCGCTGCAGCTCGCTCTCGCAGATCTCCAGGTTGACGCTCTTGGAGCTGTAGGAGTCCTTCAGGGTGAGGATCTGCTCCTCCTTCTCCCGTAGGAAGTTCTTACCTTCCTTGAGCTGTGTCCGCAGTCCCACAATCTCATTCAGCTTTTGGGAGACGTCTGCTTGGGAGTCCTTCAGCTGCTGCTTTAGCAGGGAGATCTCACCTGCCTTCTGGCACACCTGCGGGGAGAGCATCTGTGAGGCAGGAGGAAGGCAGTGAGGAGCTGCCACCGCTGCTTGTCCCCTGTGCTGCCTATGAAATGTCTGTGTGGCCTCATGTTGGCAGGAGGCTCAGTTAATGGAGGTCACAGCCAGCGACAGTGCTCAAGGACTGAGCTCCAGCCTTCACCAGGACCCAGACCATGCCAAAGACCTAGAGGTTGTCCCCACATTTGTGGGGGAGATTTGGTGTTTCTTCCTGACTCTCAGGGACCAGATGCTGTTCCCAGCTGGAGCTGACCAAACAGCTAAGTGAAGTGCTGTGGTCCTCACCAGTGGTGAGCAGACACCGATGCTTCCCTCCCTGCATTCATCTTACCTAACCACGAGTCTGTAGTGCTTGACCCCAAACCCTCTGCTCTCAGCAGAAGCTTTCCCACTGACCTCAATGGGATCTGGACCTTGAACAAACCTGAGACAGAAACATCTCAGACCCAAAGACCACCTGGGCTCTCCCCAAACACTGGGAGTGTAGGACAGGGTGCAGAGACAGTAGATATTACTTACTTGTCCTATTGACACTTGCCTTCCCAAACGCCCCTGAAGAACCCAGTTGACTAAATTTTAGGTTTCACTTCACTGAGGACAGTCCAAGGACTGTTAGCTATTAAATTATTTTGGGGCAGGACATGAAGAGTGACAGCCCCTCTGCCAAAGATCAAGGAGAGAGCTGTGACCCACCCTTGATGAAATGTGACTACCATGCACTGTCCTTGGGCACTGGAGTTTCAGGTGTCATCCTGACTGGCTCAGGTCTCACTGTTTAGTAGGGTGCACAAGCCCAGTGGAAATACCCTTGCTGCAGCGTGTATTCACATTATGTGGGTGTCACCGTTCAATATGACACTCCTCTGCACCTGTGTAGTCCACCAAAAGTGACAGTTGCATGAATAGTTGAGGGTACTGGAAGTGAACCATAAAAATGACCAAACCCTCATTTTCCCATGAACTCCGTGGTTTTCAGAGCTTTGCACTGGCAGACCTGAACTGTCCGCTGTGGATGATTGCAGAAACAAACAGTCCTTACCTATGCTGGTAGGAGTCTGGGCTGGGCAGTGGCATCAAGGAACCATCAGTGATCAGAGAGGATAGGCATAATTAAAAAGAGACTTCGTAGCCACCTCCAGACTGGGGTGTCCCATCCTCCTGAAGCACCTGTCTCTTGTCATAACACATGAAATGCTTGGCCTTTCCTCCCTCCTGCGGTGCCTGCAAGGTCCCTTGCTGCTCTGCTCCAGCTGGGTCAATGCTCCTCAGACAAACTCTCCTCTCCACCACCTTCATTGCAACCTCCACCTTTCTCTTCTATTAGAGGACTTGCCTGGCACATAATGTTGAGCAAGACCTTGAAGCTCAGCTATCAGGACAGTCCAGTGCTTACTATGCATGGCTGAAGAGCTAGGAGACGTACCCAGTCACTTCCTACTGGTAGCAGCTTTCCCTGGACCTTGACAGCCATGGTGGTTCCCCATGCAGACCTACCTCTATGAGTACCCACATCCACACCAGCACTTGTCTGCAGCAGATGCAGAACCATATCACGCTGGTTTAGCTGTAGTTAGAGTGGTGTAGTTACTGTCTAGCTAAAAACCTGCACAATTTACTGAAAGTGCTCTCCCTGGGCTGGCTCTTCCCAAAAGGCAGAGAAATACATGATGAAGAACAGTTTGGGTAGGCATCAACTTACAGATTAAACCACTTAAATTTAGGCCTCTACTTGGGTGCTGCGGAGATCCAGGCAATACAGTCCATGGAGCCTGGAGAGCAAGTCAACAAGTGTCGGTGTCTACAAGTTTTAGGTGTCTTGATCCACAAGCTGGATCCCGATCTTTACACCAATATCACTGAAATAGCTGTTGCAGACAGAACTACAGCAGTGAAACAAACAATTACTGGTACAAAATCAGGGAACGTTCCAGACCTAACTTGTTAGAAAACAAAGGAGGCATCATGTGGGACAACGCAGCCTGCTTGTTCTGGGATGTAGCTTGCAGAGATTTTACAGCAAGCCTCTAATAAGCTCCACTGAACATCTGCAAATAGCACATTTCAGAGCCTAATTAATCCCAGCTTCATTGACTTTCCATCAGGATTAGCAGAATAGGGTCTTCCTGATTCTAGAGCTATGTTTTGCCTCTGCACTCTTAATAAATTTAAAGTTTCTAGCCAGTCCATGGAAGGATTAAAATTCCTCACATGATCAAGCTGGAAAAAAAAAATGTTAGTACTGGCTATACAAACAGACTTTGATAAAATGTTCTAAAAATAGAAACAGTAGAAAAAAATATGTCAGACTCAAAAGGAGAACTCGAAAGAGGAATTTGCCTTTCAGCCTTTTAAGAGAGAGAAACTTATTAACAACTGAAAACAGCGTGTTACAATGGAAAGCATGAGGTAAACTTGGCCATCGGTGTCATTCTTAGCTCACTTGCTTTATATCTTAAAAAAAAAAAAACATCAAATATTTGAAAAACGGTTTCAAGGTTTGCCCAAATGCAGATGTTAGAAGAATTTAATTAAAACAGACTTAAACCCATTTTTGGTAGGCACAAATACCTCTATGGAAAGATCTGTATTCCCTGAGACTGGATTCAAATGTCACAGGTTGGAGTCACGGGATTGTGAAGCCAAATTATTAATCAGCACAGGAAGCGTGCGGAAAAAAATTGTGTTCATTTCAGTTTATTTGAAAACTATGGACTTGGGGCTCAGACAAATAAAGAGGTGACTGGAGTGTCACCTGTTACCTGGAGGCCACCAACCTGTAGGCATTGTCTGTGGGGTCCACTTAGGGCACATGGGAAGTACTTTGCCCCATCCCTGCAGGTGTTCAAGGCCAGGTTGGATGGGGCTTTGGGCAGTCTGGTGTAGTGGAGGGTGTCCCTGCCCATTGCAGGGGGCTTGGAACTAGATGGTCTTTGAGGTCCCTTCCAACCTGAACCATTCTATGATTCTACTTTGGGTTACCAGAGCCCTCAGCAAATACGTCACTCAAGGTCTGCTACAACGAGGCTCTTACCTCCCACTTGGTCTCTTCAATCTTTGGAAGAAACTCAGCCTGCTCCTTCTTGAAAGCTACAAATTTCTTCTCTAGCTCCTCTCGTTGCTGGAGGAGTTGTCCCATGTCATCTTGGAGTTTTTTTTTCTCCTGCTGGAGCTTGAAGATTTGGAGCTGCAAGGCCTGCTGAGCCCGCTGCGCCTTTTTGGAGACCTGTTGCAATTTGTTGGCGTAGTTTTGCCTCAGGTCCTCCATTTCCCTCTCCCAGATCTTCTGCTTCTCCTCGAACACTTGGAAGATGGCTGCCTCGCTTTTGTCCAAGTTCCTTCGCATCTGGAGAACCTCCTGCTCCTTCTCCCACAGCCGGTCTTCCAGGTCTTGGATGATGTCGTCCGTTGAAGGCGAGTGGAAAGGCATCGTTTCATTGAGATGGTTCAGTCTGTTGAACGAAGAAGTGCTCTTGCTCGAAGACCGCCCACTGTCTGAGGTAGATATCCCGTTGTATCCCGTGATGTTCTTGTCCACGTAGGTTGTACCGATGCGGTTGATGTGGCTGGTGGAGGCGCTCATTGGACCCACGTGCTGGCTGTAGCCTGTCCCATACGTGGGCAGGCTCGTTAATGAGTTACGGCCCGAATCCGACAGGCCCCCCACTTGGTTTGTAGTCCTGTTAAGGCTGCTCTTGTCGAGTCCACTTTTGGGTGCGGACGGGCTATTGCTGTTGGCATGGTTCAAGCTCTTTCTGTTCTCTGTCACCCCGTTGCTCTGCGGCGGGCAGAGGTTCTGCATGGAATGGAAGTTTTTAGGAACTACTGGTTTAAAGGCTGAGGGTCTAACTAAGGGCTCATTGCTCTGCAAAAGGAAAAAGGACCACGCATCAAACATAGCAGGAAGCTTGGTAACAACATACAAAAGAGACACATCAGCACAGGGTGGGGCTGATGGAGCTAAGACCTCTTGGCTAGCTCCGTATTTCTCTGCCTTATTACACCCTGGGCCGTTTGGGATTTAACAAGGAGGACCTGTGGTGACTCGTAGGGCAACGCTTTGTCTTCCCTCGTCCCAGCTGAAAAAACAATCTTGACTCATCCCAAATCTGCGTGTTTTTTCCCTAGAATACTCCTGGGGTCCTCTTATTGCTCTTGCAAGAAAGAGGGCTGTCACCTGACTACCAGCCCTGATCAAAACAACTCTTTGATTTTGGCAGGTTATATTTTGAAGGACTTCTAGCGTTGAGGGTGCCTTGCCTTTTTGCTGAAAACTGAATTGAACCCTTGGATTAGCAACTGATTAGCATCATGTTTCCCTCCTGCCAGCAGTCATCTGTCTCCTGTGTGAACATCACGTCCTGGTTACGCTTGGACAGGAATAGGTAGGAGCTATGACCCCAGCAGTGACACCAGGCAAGGAACATGCTGAAGCTGCTCTTCATTTGAACGTGTGTTTCCTGTGGCCATAAGCAATGCTGGGGGGAGAACTGACCTCAGCTGTAAAGGATTTAGAAAGGATTTTAAAACCTTGCACATTCATCGCCGTGTGAACGTACCTACAGAAGCAGAATATTCCTCAAAATGAGATTGAGTCTCCCCTACTGCAGGTGAAATTAACCCAGAAGAAGCCGCCTTGTATTAGCAAAGATGTTTTGAAAACTCCTTCCAGGAGAAACAGAACAAGCCCTGGTGAGCAGGCAAGGTTGGACACCAAAAACCTGGCACCTGGCATGTGGTCCTGAGATGGACTACAGGGGCCGGTGGATTAACAACCCAGGAGACAAGGCCACCAAATGCTGCAGAAATAATACAGCACAAGGCAGCATCCCCAGGGCACAAATTATGGGAGTCGCTGGAGCAGAGCAGCAGGATGTATAAAATGCTGGTGGCTCTGGGGCTCTGCTCCTCCAGGCCTGGGAGATGTTTGCTCCCTGCAGCTGATAAGAGCCATGAGGACTGTGCTTGGATGGATGGTAATGCTCACAGGGGTATTTTTCAAACCTTGTCAACTTGTCCCTCACAAGAGGCACTGGGGTTTTGAACAGAGGCTTGTAGCTGCTTTCGAACAGCATCTTTTGGTGGCAGTGGGCTGTTGGAGATTGCCTATAAATGGCACAAAACATATGAGTGTGACTCAGATGCTGCACCTACTGAAATAAGAGCTGACTCTTTTGAGGCTTTGAGCAACCTTGAGTAGTGGAGGGTGTCCCTGCCCATGGCAGGGGGGTTGGAGCTGGATGATCTTTGAGGTCCCTTCCAACCCTAACCATTCTATGATTCTATGACTCCAGCTCCCTCCTCTGTCAATAAGGTGGTAGGCACAGCATCCTGGGTAGGTTGGAACTGCCAGTGATTTAAATACAGGCTTAAAAGAGATGGAAACTTAGCTGTGGAAGACTTCTTATCATGCTCTTGGGTTCCTCAAGGACTAACATTCCCCTTTGCTCAACCCTCTGAAAGTAATAGGAATTATATTATCTGTATTTAATAATGATGCCATCTATATAGTAAGAGTTAGACTATCTGTCAAGGTTGCACCATTGCCCAAGGCTTCCTGGTCTGTGTTTTTAGAGATGTGCCATGGTCATCACTCCACTCCAGGAGGTGGGGATTCTCACCTGGTCTAGTTTGCCGGAGATTGGCAGTATCTTTGGTGGGTTACTGGGCTCTCGGTACTGGGGAGGAGGTGGCATGTTCTTCTCATTGTTGGTGGTCACATTCCCACAGATGTCCATCTTCACCTTCTCGCTCTTGCGCAGGTCGCCGTTGATATAGAGGGAATTGGAGACCTTCTCCGACTTGTATGTCTTCTCCTCGCCGGAGTAGCGGTTGGAGATCTCCCGTGTAGAGTACCCGTTGCGAGATCCCTCCGTCTGCCGGCTGCTGCTCTGCGTCCGGGTCCCCACGCTCTTCATGGCGAACTCTTGGTCGTTGGCGACTCCGCTGCCCACGCTCCCCATGGTGCTCTGGGAGGTGGGTTGGGATGGCCGGGGAGCAAAACCGTGGAAGTTTTCCGGGCTGGGATAGGTTTGGTCACTAAGAACGGGCAGCGTCTCTAGCGTGGCCATGGCAGCGCAGAGGTGAGGTGGAGGCACAGGTCAGTGGCACTGGGAGATGAAGAGAAGGAAAGAACTGTTAAAGAGATGCCTTTTGTCTACCATACCCTTTACAGATTGGCATTGTGCAGAGATGACCAAGTGTCCGGGCTGGGTGATGCAAGGCCCGGAGCTGTCATGTCTCAGTCTATGGTATGGAGCAGATGACGAGGCTGTCCTCCTCTCTGTGACCTCCAGACCCCCTTGGAGGAGCAGTGTGCAGTAGACCTCCAAACCACACTCATCGCCATGCTAAAGAGCTGATCTTAAGCTCTCCTCCTCGGGGAGGAGGTTGCACGGGTTTTAGTGGGCACAGCTCTACGGCATTGGTTGTGCACAACCATTTGAAATTCCTGAGCTTTAATTATTTCTGTCACTTTTCCCAAGTTTGAGCAAATTTATTTGGCCATAGAGATGGAAGGTTCCCAGCCCTGGTCCATCCTTAGCCCCATATGATATTGGTCCCTCCAGCACATCCCTTAGGGATGCTTCAACAGGGCTTAAGCAACACACTTTCCATCTCTTCCTTGGCAGTGTTATCCCATGGACTTGTACTTTTATAAAGATGTTTTTGTCCAGATGTCATCCTAAAGCTGTGCCTTGGACTGGCCAAAACTAGACCATAAGAAGTGGATAACATGCAGATAATGGTTTTAACATTTTCTCTCCCACTGGGACTAGTCCTCTCGTCTGAGTGCTCTTCCTCAGCTCCACCACCATCTCAAACCCCAGTCCTGCGATTTCAGCCTTCGTAGGTGCCCAGGCCTATTCACATCTGTGTTTTTGGGGAAATTCCCCAAATACTGGTGTTTGCATGGGTGCTGAATTTATTATTAGCTGAGGCAGTCAAGGTCTGGAGCTACTGGTGCTAAGACAGGTCTCACATGGGGACAATTTATAACTTCCTAAAAGACCTTTTGAAAGTCCCTTCTGAAAGTCCCAGCTGAAAATCAAGCAGTTTCTGCACTCTTGGACCCAGCAGTAGTGGATCTGGTCTGCACTGCCCCCACTACCCCCCTGAGGGTGACAAAGCCCCTGCAGTCATGTCCCAGCATGGACTGGGACTAGGAAAAAAACACCAACATGAATTTACTTCTCTCAACAGAATTTCTTTAGTCACAGAAACCCAGGGGTTCTCCCTGATGGGCATACCCATAAAATATGAGCATTGGGGAAGCTGCTCCATGTTGAACTGAGCTGGAGCAGAAGATGGAGATCTTGCAGAGAGTGACTGCATTCCCCACGATTCCCTTTCCCTTTCCCTCCACTGAGGTCTTAACCTTGTCCTCTGCAATGCAATCAGCCCCACAAAGGTGTAAAATCTTATTTAAGAAAATAAAAAGACCAACCCACAACAATTTTTTTTTTTGGTTGTCTCATTGAATAATGGTGAATTTGAACCCGTACCAGCTAAAGATCTCACTACCTGAGGGAAGGGAGAAGATGCATTGCAAAGTTTGGGTGATTGCGATGAGTCCTGGGGTCTCTGTGTTTGGAGAAAGACCAGCAGGTAGGGGAGGTGGAGAAAATCCCCATTTCAGTGGGGTTTTCCCTATTCTTGGGGTGGGGATGTTAAATCAGCCCTTCCCAAGCAAAGCAGGAGAGCTGGGTTTATTTCCCTGGAGAGCTCGCTTAGGTCTAGAGCTCGGCTCTGATGTGGTGTCTCACGGGGTCTTGCTGTTTGCACTAATAATGGAATGGGAAAGAAAAATTAAAAAGGTTAAAGCAAGGTCTGTGCTGCTCAACTTCACTTTTATTAAATTGCGCTTCTGGAGGCTTCTGCCAGGCGCACTGCCTGTAGCCTCCTCCCTTCTTCCAGGGTCCCCATCTTCTCATAGAAAGCTGCCCTGTCCAAAATAATGGCCTGAGTGTTGTGGGGCTGGAGGGCAGACATGGCAAACTGCTGTACCGGTGGGAGAAGACACAGAGCTGATACCTACAGTGATTTGGCAGGGCTCCTGTGAAGCAGAACAGGGTATGGAGGTATGTGAAGCATACAGGGTATGCAGAGGGAAAAAATGGTTTAAGGAGGTGCTCCAGTGAAAGCCACCATCCC